AGACGCGGGAAACAGAATTAATAATGGTAATTTTGTTTTTCTTCTTAAAAATAACTTTCCGTTGCAGCAAATCAATTCTTGTTACAAACATTTTAAACTTATTTCTAACTGCAGATTTTCATTAAAATAATGTCCATTTGTTACATATTTGTTTTTTGAGCCCAGCATTTGTTTATGAACTTTGTATTTTATACGTTTATTTAAAATTTCAACAATTAATGAAGCAATTAAATGAAATTGGAACAAATTTAAAAATTTTTAAACAAAATTAGAAATTATAATTTTCAGAAAAAATGCTGAAAAATTTTAATAATAAATCTATTAGTAAATATAATCTAATATAATCTAGCAAATTCTGATTATTTATTTAAAACTTTATATCATTTGAAATTAAAAAAAAAAGAGAATTGAGGAATAATAGTTAATTGCCAGTTTGAAGCGAGAGAAATAAAACTGAAATTTGAAGTGAATTAACAGATTTTGAAATTTTTGAGGGAATAAAAATACAAGCAAAATATATAATATGTGCACCACAAACATTAAAATCGATAAATCGTGTTACACATTTTTCAATATTTCTCATACCTTCCTTCTTCTTTGTTAGAAAGTGTTAAATTTTACCTTACACCCTTCTCCTTTCATATGTCTCGCTATATTACATAAATGCTTGTAATGAAGTAGTTTTATATTTTAAATTTAACCATGTATTTTTTACGGTATTTGCAAGCTTAGTAATAATATTGATTGTATTATATGAAAATGATGTAGGTTTACTATAATTACCGTGCAACTGTAATAAAATATCAATATGTATTAAGAACAACTAAACGCAGAAGCTTTTTGAATCTTACTCTATCAACAAAATAATTTTAAATACATAATTTTAGAAAAAGTCTTCAATATCAGGTTATAGCTTAATACAATTGCTAGTTTATTTCCTCCATCACAAGTATTTAAGCAAGTATTTAAAAAAAATTATAATCAAATCATAGAATCAAACTAACATACTAGCTACATGTTAACAAAATAATAAAAGAAAATCATCGAAAGAAAACAGCAATCTTTTTAATGGTGAGAAATAATATATAGTAAGATGATAAAAGACATAAAAATTAACAACATAGAAATACTACACATAATATTTGAACCAAAGTGTGTGATGTCCCACTTCTTGTAATCTCCCTCCCTTCTTCTTGTCACCAAATGTCATAAATCACGTAACCCCACCCCTCTCTCCGATATGACATCACTTGAAGACGACCCCAAAAATAAAAGAATGCAAAAGAAAGGGAAATTATTTCGTTAACTTTTAAGTAACATTGATATTTTTAATCAAATAAATGAAATCTTCAGTGCAAAATATTTTAAATTCTTAAAATTAGTTAGCTTTACGAAAAAAAAGAAAAAGAAAGAGAGATTTTTTTCGAGCGATGGCATCACTTTTAATGATTCTTATTTAGAACAACCTCTTGACTTCGAATACTCCCGTTTTCTTCGATCACACATGCAACTTCTGGGAGATGTTTCTGGAAACATTACAGGAATATTTCTGAGAATATTCCCACCCTATATTTATCCCTTTTCAATAATTTTATGTCCATGAATTTGAATTAAAAAAAGGAAAAAGGTTAACTTTACCATTAAATTTCTTATGAGGAACTAGTGAATCAAAAAAGAATATGAATAGAAGCAAGCTTAAAAGAAAATCATTTCAAAGGGTATTTCTGTTTTTTTCTCGAAATCCTTTTATTAATTGTTTCTTATCCTTGCTTACATCTCCTCTTCCCTCCACTTTCTCATAACATAAATATTTGGTTATAAGCAGTTGAGGGTGAGATATTAAAAAAACTCTCATACAATGAATTCTCCCAATTATCTCGCGAGAACTTTTTTGATCTCCCCGAGGAAAGAATAGGAAAATTTTATGGATTAAATATCTCCTGATGTGCTAAAGAAATGGAAATTGCTATTCTAATATGTAAGGAATTATAACGATTTGAAAATATTTTATAGTTTTTGCTCTCTTAAATTGAAAGAAAAAACATTTAAGACAAATTCATTATTTTATTTTTTTCACTTATTTTCTAGGCATTTAAGCTTCTAATCCTTTCGTACCCTTTAATGCCTTTAATTTAGGTCTTTCTACACTGTAAAAAAAATTGGATCAAATTAAGATAGAGCGTACTGGCACTCAAGGAAAAGATACTTTTTACGGTAAAATCTATTTTTACCGAAACACATAAAATTTAATGTACCATGATTTTTACAGCAATAATTACCGTAAAATCGTTGAATCACCCTAAATAAATAAATATTACTGTAAAAATTACGGTATAATATTTTACTGTAAAAATGTCTTTTTCGGTAAAATGGATTTTGTGAATAGTGCACCCAAATTGACCTAGACATTTTACAGTGCAGATAACGATGGAGAAAATAAGAAAACGCGGATTACATTAGGATTTAGGAGACAACATACATAAAATATTTACATAAAATTCTACTGAAATATTACTAGTTTTTTTTTCCATACAGCGTGGTATAATTCTTGCTAACTTTCGTTCCATTATCAAATATTTGTATGACAGCATTTCTATGTGATTTCATACACATAGGATATTGAAATTTCATTGCTCAGTGAAATAGCATGCGCCACCTCTTCATTTCCAAATTTTCCGGTTAGGGATGGCTAACTGAAATTTTATTCCATTTGAGTTCTTATTACACTTTAGGAGGCATGGTGTCCTCATTAATTTATCATACAAAAGATAGGAAAACTACCATACTTGACAGGATTTGGATTATTTTTTAATTATTTTTTTGTCCTTTTGTCTGTTGAACCATCTACTAAATGTTTTACTAGTTATTATCAGTTCTTTATAATCAGTTTTGAAGTATCAGAACTGTTGTTTTGAAGTATCTAATTGTTGCTGAAATGTAAATGAAAAATTAAACAAAAATTAAATCAAAAGGATTTCTTTTTTAAAACAATTTTAACCAGTTGTTGCAATTTACAAAAATTCTCTTTTTTGGAACAAAAAAAAAAGGTTTAATAATTTGACAAGAAAATTAGCAATAAAACATTAATGATTTCAAATGCTTACTTAGTGTGATTTGCTTTAGTATTTATTCATGAAAAACATAGTAATGATTGCATCTGAAATTCTTCTTTATGAGCACCGTAGCCTTTCACAGACTTTGTCTGCCTCCATCACAAGAAATTTCCAACCTTTCCCATCTAAGGCGACTCTTCTCCATTTTTTTTTTAAATTTTGAAATCAGTGGATCTTTTTCGATGTACTCTAGCCAGAATGGATACCCTTGGGCTAGATCTTATAGAATTTTTCAAAGTGGCAAATTTAAAAATGAAGCGTCCTCTAAAATTTTGAGCATCAAAACTATCATTTGCGTACTTTAAAAGGTTATTATTCTAAAAGAGTTGAATGGTTTAAGGTAATGCGCAGTTCTCTAAATCATCCAAATTTTGTATAAAAACAATTCTTCATAATGGTTTTTCTAAGTTTTTTCACAAAAAAGTCCCATTTAATGTGCCTTACAAATAATACAAAAATAATTTTAAACTCTATATGCCACCTTGCCATGAAGAATTAGCTGGGTAATAAAACGCAATTATTAGCATAATTATAAACATTAATATTAGTTTAAATATTATAAAAATTATTAAACATTTTTAAAAATCGCCATTTTAGTAAGATTTTGTCCCCTAGCAAGAAATTATCAAAATCAATGTCTTATTCAACTTTTTCGAAATTTTTATGGACCCAGATAATGTAGAATTGGATTAGGTTTTTAAAACAAAAAAATTTAATCACAAACGCTTTTCATTTTCTCAAACCTAAAGATTTTCATTGACCAGAATAAGCATAATGGACGCTGTTTAAGATCAGAATAAACATAACAAGGACGCCGATATTTGTCGCATATGGTTTCATCTTTCACTTTTATTAAAATCAGTATGAATTCGTTATTTGTTTAATACCGCACAGAAAAGATAGGAAAATTTAACATCACAACCAGTATTTTACTAATAATACTCCTGAAATCGAGTAAATGTTCGTTAAACACGTTTAGAATGCGCATAAAATAATTAATACTAAGCAATATTAAAACTACACCGTAAGAAACTAGAACAAATTACGGAATAAAGTACCAGCTCTGGAAAATTTATTCTTCCGTAAAATCCATTTTTACCTCAATATATTATACAGTAATTCTTACAGTAAAATTTATTTAATTAGAGTAATTCAGTGATTTTACGGTAATTATAACTGTAAAAATTACGGTACATCATATTTTTGTCTTGTTATCATATTTTGGTGTTTTGTCATGTTCTGGTAGAAGTGGATTTTATGGCAAAGCGTACCGGCACCCTGAGTGCAACTGTTTTTTACCGTAATTTTGTGTGGAATTTCTTACAGTGCACTAATGGTTTAAAATAAATAGCTTGCATAATTGTTAATTAACTACCTAGACCAATTATGCAGTTACATAGCACAACATACAGAATTTTATTGCATGTAATAGAATAAAACATTCAATCGAGTAGACATTTATTATTATTTTGTGAATAATCTGAAGATCTAGACAAGAATTAATATGCAATAAAAGTTAAAAGAAAGATAATTATTGAAAGAAGATGGAACTTTTTTTTAAAACATAGAATCTATTCTAACGTATAAAATTTTTAATATTAGACATAATTTACATGCCTTAATTTCTCTTGCCTCTAATTTTATGATTTTTATTTCATGTTATCTCGTATATCTTAGATTACATTTATCGCCTCTACATTTGGCTAACTCAGTTGTATTTTTTTGTTTGTAGTTTCCAAAATGAAATTAAAGTACAATTTCATGTCAATTAATGAAATGTTTTAATTTTAAGTTATAATTAAACTTAATTTAATAAAATATGAATTTCTTTCTCTTTCAATTTAATGTAAAGCGAATCCTTAAATAGTTCTGATAAGCTCCACTTACTTTTCAGTGACCATGGGGCCATGCGCTGAGCTGCCATACCTGTAACCATTAAATCAAGTTTACAAGAAGTTGATGCTTTTGAAGTAGTACCAAGTTTAACTGCATATGGAAAAATTTGCTTGGATATTGAGTCCATCATCTCTTTCAATTTTCCTTGAAGACCAGTTTCCGTCTTTTTTACAATTTTCGGTGACTCAGTGGTAGACGCAATTCCTTCAGAGGATGTTTCAGCAGTAGTCACAAAATTTGAAAAATTAATCGAAAATAAAAGCACGACATAACACGCAATCAACATGATTAAATCAAAAAATGACTTTTGAAAAATCGATGGTACTGATTATATATTTTTCTTAATTAAAGTTCGTAACAAAATTACATTTCTAACAGATCAAACAACTTTCATAATAAAGAAAAGCATGCCAGTGAAATTAATCGCATGTGGAAACGAATCGATTTACAAAATTAAAGTAGAACAATAATAATCGATTTAAAAACCAAAGCAGACGATAAAAACCAAACACAACTCAGGATTGTAACTCTTTTAACTGAACTGAGTGATGGGGAAACAATTGCGTTCTCTGCAGCGAAAACTACTTTCGCTCTTTAGAATTTTGTATTCACTCTGCAGACGAGTATGTTTAGGTCGCGTGTTTGTTCTATTAACTCTTGTTTAATATCGTCTGCCTTGAACTTCAAAGCTAGCCTGTTATCAAGTTTTGATGTTTCATCACATTTGAGATTTTTTTTCCTATAATTTCTTTATTATACTTTTTCGCTCGTAGCTTTGTATTAAAAAACTAAATAAATCAATGAAAGATAATTTGCAATATAGAAGTATTCTTAAATTACATTTGTTAATTTTGAAACTGTCTATTTCTATATATCATATTTCAGAGAATGCTTTCTAGCTCTGAACTATATCGTCTTTATTGTCTGGAAACTATAATTTTTGATTTATATATAATCTAAGTACAAACAATAATACGGAAAAATCTTAATAATAAATTAATAAAATCGTATGAAAGATTTGTAACATTAATAAATTAACATTAAAAACCTTTAATATATAAAATATTACATGCTCTTTAAAAATTAATGTTATTATCAAAATTCAACGTTAAAATTTATAAATTAACATTAGAAAATTTAGTCTTACTAAACTCGAATTAAAAGAATAACCTCAGGTTGCAATAATGTCAAAAAGAATTTTTTAGAAATATTTTCAGCAAATTGGTAAAACACAAGAGATTGAAATTTCAATTTAACAATAATTGCAGATAGTATCATTTCAAAAAGCGAGGATTACAAGATTGATGCTTAGAACTTTCCAAGGAAAGATTTACTTGGTATCATTTGAAGACTTATGAGAAATCACCAAGGGTTCATTACAATTGTATACAAAATTTTTTAACACAGATTTAACTAAACTTTAAATGAAAGAATTTATTATATTAATCTAACAAATATTTGCAACACAAATTAGACAATTGAAAGCTTTAATTTTAAAAACAATGTTCCTGAAGTGCCTGTATTTTCAGTTTTAAGAGAAAAGAAACAGCCAAATGAAACAAATAACAATTTTATTAAACTGCACAATTTAAAAGTACATAAGAAGTGGTAGAATTAAAAAGTGTCCTTTTTTGCAAGTATTTGGATAATTTTTAATGATATACTACTGGAGGTTTTTACACCTATTCATACTCATACACTGTAAAAAGCGCATAAATATATATCCCAATTTATTTTAACTGTGTAAATATATTTGGAATTTTTATGAAATATTTGCATAGTTTTTTTCTTTTACTTCGCAAACATTTTAAGTAAGTTTAATTAGCTGTTAAAATTACTAAAGCTCAATTTAAAATAGAATTTAAAAATAGAAGACGCAGACTATTATTAATTGCAAAGAACAGAGTTTGTATAATAATTTTTTTTACAATTGTTTAAGGAGAAAATTTAACCGAATAAATAGAATTTAAGACATACTCTAAAATATCTTGATAAAATTATCAAATTTCACCAAATCTTATTTCGTAAACTTGGTAAAAACACTTATTATTAAACCTTATTTTACTGTAGTTTCACCAAAATTATTACCAAGGCGCTTCGGCAAAAATTACCTAGCTTTTTGGCGTTCACGTTGAGCCAGAAATACGATACATTTTACTATATTCTGGTAGTTTTACCCATACTTTTTTTCTCAGTGTACACATGGTATTACTTGAAATAACTGAACAAGCAAAGCACTGAAACTGTGTCTTTTAATTTATGTTGTTTAATTAGATATTTTTACTTAAAGTGATCGGCCTATTTATTACTTTAAGTATTTGTACCAGATCCTATGCATTTGATAAAAAATTTTAACTGAAAAGAAAATACAAGAGTAAATGTAACACTTAACAGTTCAAACAATCATTTGGTAAATGTTTTTTTCAACTTTAGAATTGTATCAAAATAATTAAATGTACCTAAGAGTGGTAACTTTGCCCTTTTAAATAAATTAATTTTTTTCGTGTTTGGACAATATGTGCACTGTTCAAACTGAAATTATTCATAAAAAATAATTAAATTTTTCTCACCCTATTTAATTTCAGCTAACATGGATGGCACAGGAGACATTAAATTTAAATAAATTTTCGTCTTATTTTAAAAAAGCATTTAATTACGAATGTTTGAACATTTGCTGGGGGAAATCAAAAAAAAATTTTTTTACATAAAAAGACTTTTAAGCTTGCTTCTTCAAAACAAATATTTTTGTTTAAAACATTGTGAACCAAATTTTTCATGTTATTAAAGTTAAAACATTTCTTAAAGATTTTTCAGTTTTATAACTATTCAAATTTTCTTTAAAAAATCAATTTTTTTTCCTGCAGACAATAAGATATAAAGTTTGACTCAGAAAAATAATCCATTTATACTTTTCTTTTAATTTATTAAAATATGACATTTGACAGTTTGGATACATTTCAAAAAGTTTACGTAAATAATTTAATACGTTTATCTCGAAAATATATAACTATCTTAATTGTAATTAAGTAATTATCCCATAATTACTTAACTATTATTAAGCTAATTGATTATGTAATAAATAAATTTGTAGTAATATGAATTATCTTAAGAATATTGCTTGCTTGTTCTTTTTACCCTAATAAATTAGCATAAAACACTTTAAATCGGAAATGAAGAAAATAAGAAAAAAAAAAGTCTTAGTTACATCTTTGACACCAATGACTTCTCTGTAAAAGAAGAATTGACCTACTATCTTTACTCACTCATATTAAATGTATACATGCGGTAGTCCAAGTGCAGGTTCAGGTCAAGCTTTCACTTTCTACTGAGAGTACAAGGTCGGTGAAGAAGCAGGTTACGTTACTAAACTGAGATCAAATATAGGCCATGGAACTTACAGTATTTTATGAGAATGCGTAAGATTTTAATTAAAATTCTCTTAAAGGTTTAAAATTTAGTATCAGTAGAAACTATTTTGAAGCAGTTTTAATTGAATTTATTTGTAAGATTTTGTAAAATTTTACTATTTTCTTTAAGTTGTTACGTATTGTGCTACATATTTGACTTTCTGAAACAGAGATCACATTAAGAAGTTACCTGAGAAGTTACTCGTCAATAAAACGGATTTTTTTCTCAATATTTTTTACGATGCTTAGTCTAACTAGTACTTCCAGTGCTAGTACTATAGTAATATTTTGAAGCAGTTTTAAATACATTTACATCTAAGATTTTGTATAAATTGAATATTTTTTAAGTTGTTGAAGTATTGCAATACAAATGTAGTATCTGAAACAGTGATCTTCGTAACAGTGCAATAGAGATATTAGTAGCAGATATCTTAGTAATCAGTATAGTATCAACTACACTGATTTTGTTTTCAATATTTATTATGAAGATTAGTGTAGAGGCTTTGCAAATTACTTTATTTTCGAAATTGCTTACTATTAAAATCAGGTTTTCTAACAAAATATTATCTATATTTTTTCTACAGTTTTTTAAAGCAAATTTAGTTTTTCTCAAGAGAAAATGCAATTAATTTTCTGAGGATTGCTATTTAAACATTTATTGTCACATTGGTGAAAATTTATTGATTTGTCTAAAATTTTTTGTAATATGTGCAATGATAAAAAATATCACATCAATAAAATCGACAAAAAAATTTTAATATATCATTATTTTGTGCTAGAAAGGGTTTGCGTTTAAAGATTATCATTATAGTATTTAATCAGTTATACCGCTTGTACTCAGCTCAGTTTCAGCACACACTGTCAATAATTTTGGTGTTTAAGTGCCCCCATTTTTGGTGTTGAAGTAAAATGAAGAAATTTTTTAGTAGAAAATAAAAGCTATTGCGCTGAAATTTTATGAAGCTGAGAAAATAACAATTGTTTGGAAGAATTATTGCAAATATTTTACTAAATATATACTGATTTTTTAAACGTAATGCTTTTGAAATAAAGCTAATAAATTGATTCTAATGTGCATAAAAATATGAGTTATCAGTAAACAAATAAACTGTAAATAAATATATAAATAAATAATAAATTTATAAATTTACATCAGTGAGAAAGTAAACCAAAAATCTGACTATATTTACAGCAAAAAATTTAGTGTACCTCAACACCAGAAGTGGGTGCAGCTATGCATCAGAATGTTTTTCCAGTTTATTTAGTTGAAGCACTTTGAAATGAAATAAATTAAGTGAAAAAATAGCAAAGCAATTATATCATACGATGAAATTCAACAGCCGAAAAATTTTCTTAAAGCCCTGTCATCAGTTCAATTTTACTTTAAGGTAACCAGATTTAAGGTATTTATTAGCGTCCACAACTTTTTTTTAATATTAATATAAAATTTACAAAAAACTAGTTTGTTTTAATATCTGTAAGCACTTATAAAATAGCAACAAAAAAAATTATTATTTTTAAATGGCTACTTTTAGGTAAAAATAAGTCATTTATATATATATATATATATANTGAATTACATTTTGCACACCATAATTTGATACATTTAGCAATATATATATATATATATGCTAAATACTGGAAAACAATTAGCATCGCTTAAAACAAAGTATCCTTTGTTGATTTTATTTAGAAAGCTATCAACTATGTTTTGAACTATTATCTTAAGATCAAGAGCATAAACTACTGAGTTACGGATAAATTTAGTTAAAAAAGCTAATTTTAAAATAATTCCGTACTTGTCTTTGCAAAAAAAACATGCATAAAAATTAAACTCGACTTTTTTCTCTTAGTCTGTAGCTCAAAACATGTGAGCTATAATCATAAATACTCATGAAGAAATGCAGACAATTATTTTAAAAACAATTTCATATATCATGCTTAAGGTGGAGTAAAATGTGAGAAAGTCTAATTTTGAGACAATTAGATTTTCTTAAGACTCTTAAAGACTCATCAGTCATCATTATCACCTTGAACAGAAACTGCTTTAATTTTGTAAATAATTGAAATAAGAGCAAAAGTATTTGTAGAAAGCTAATAATACAGAGAATCTAAATTAGTAATACACTCAATTTCGAAAATTTTGTACAAATTATGCTTTTCCAATAGTCAGATATTTAAAAATTCATCGAAGTATTGAACCATATTATCGAAAGCTTGAACTACAGCACAAAATTGCTAAATTATTTTGACATCAAATTGGCAAAATTCAATTTCACAGGGAATTAAAATTTAATTTTGATGCGAAATTGAATCGAGTCCCATCTTAAAGAAAAATTTGGCATAAAAATACCCTGAGCGCACAAAATATCCCCTATGAAATTTTACCTATTTTAAAATTTTATCATAACTTTTTCTTTTAAGCCAATGAAAAAGTTTTGTTTCTGAGCTACTGTGAACTTTTGCCCGAGATTATATCACACCTTTGCGATACGGCAATGACAAGAGTTTTCTATAGCTCGATGATATTTTACCATTCAACTATACATAGACAAATTTATGCATATATAATAATAGAAAAGAACCATTCAACTACAATGATTTTTTGGATAATTTTACCGAAAATCCTTAAAATAATGAATGCGAGATAAAATGAAGGCGAGAGATTAAAAAAAAAATTATGCGTATTAGAAAATACAATAATCTATACAAATGAAAAGAAATATTTGTCTGTCTGTCTCTCTCTCTCTTACTTAAAATTCCAGAATCATTTGGGCAATGTCCTGAAATTGGGACAGAGAGAAGAGGGATAATTTTAATTTCCGATCCTTAAAATTGTTCTAAAATTTCAACTAGAGATTGTCTCTCGAGATCTTTCGGCTGTTCAACTGTCGTCGAATAGCCGAGTCAATTCTGTGTATGATTTTATAACTGTCGTTGAACAGCCGACCCAATTTCTTTGGGTTTATTACTATTAAGGACCAACTCCATAGTCTTTTAATTTTGAATCCAATCCAGAAGACAAAGGAACTCATGGATCAAGTGGTGGGAGAAATTTAGCTCCGTGGAGGACTTTTAGAGATAGATAACCCTCATTTGGAGAGGAAAATCCTGAAAACCTCCCACGGTTAGCCTGACGGCAAGGTAAATCTAATTCTTGATTCGTCTACCGCTGAAGATGCTTTACGTCAGCACTATGGTCGGGGCAAGCCGAATGCAGAATTCGTATCGTCCAGCCATCGCTGGGATTCGAACCCTGTTCACCACATTGGAAGGAGAACTCCCTATTTTCTGAGCCAACACAGCTCAATTCTGGATATAATTTATAACCGTCTTTGAACAGCCGATTCAATTTTTTGTGTTTACGACTACTATTGTTCCACTCCGTAGACTTGTAATTTTGAACTCAATCCAGAAGACAATGGAATTTTTTCATCAGGTATTGGGAGAAATTTCCGTTCAAAATCTATATGAAAATCCATATAATGTTCTATGACGTTTGCCATAAAGGCATACGTTACCATGTGTTTCCACAGATGACGATAGCTTTATATTGAGTGGCAACATAGAAACATGTAATCAAGTTTAAGAAGTTAAATAAGGATATAAAGTGCCATGGCTTAGCCATAGGTACTCACTGGGTAACAATAAGAGAGTAACAATTCAGACATTTCTGAGGTCAATGGGAAATAGATCCAAGTGCCCGCCATTAACCAAAAAAATTTTTTTTAAAGTTAATATCATGCTAAAAGTTTGAATGGTTTTATTGGTCATAGCGTTCACCAATTTTTAATAATGTATGATAATAACCAATATTTGTAATATTTAAAATAAGCGTGTACATTGTTCAATGATTATTTATTTCTTTTTAATCAAATTATGATTCTCATCTATTTTTTTATCTGATAAATAACATTCTTTCCTATAAAAAATACCAAACATTAAGATTGAAATTAATGTAATTTTATTATATAACACCTAATTTGGTAATACCTTTTGGCAATAAGAATAAGCAAAAACCATGAGAATAAATTCAAAATCTTCTAATGAAATAAAAATAAATTCGAAAGAAGTTAAAAAAATTTATTCTTTAATATATCTTGGAACAATAGTAAATAAACAATTAGGCAGCAACGATTATATAAACCAAAGAATCATAAAAGTTGCTTCAGAAGCCTTCAAAAATTGCGAGCTTCAAACATAAAAATTTCAACAAAAATAAATGTTTCTAAAGCTGTTGTTTTCTCCATACTTTTGCATGATGCTGAATGTTGGAACCACCGCAAAACAGGAATCAAAAAATTGCAACATTCCAGAACAAATGTTTAAAAATAATTTAAAACATTTTCTGGCCTAACACTATTTCAAATAAAGATCTACGAACAAAGGCAAAAAAGTAATCCATTCATGAAAAGAAGATGAAAATGTACAAGACATATCATGGAAAACGTAAAAACGGAAGACCGAGACTTATTTGACAAACATACATGCACCAAGATTTGTGCAAAGCTAAACTAAATGGATGGGAGGAAGCAAGAGGACTGGCTCAGGACAAGGGTGTCTAAAAGAGAGACTTGAGGCCTTATGGTAGGCCTTTAAGGTAGGTAGGCCTTTGAGGTCATTAAAGTCGTAATTTGATAATGATGCAATTTTATCAAAAAAGTTAAATTTTTAAATTCGATATTTTATAAATATTATGGGTAAGAATGTAGTCCACGCTATAATAAGCTATCATTCATCTACAATAAATGAGTTTTTGTATAGTAATAGCTTCAAACCATTGGAAATGTAACACTTTTGAGTCTATAAAAAAGAAAGCTTAATTATTAAATGTAGATAGAATACGTGCTATGTATTTGTTTCAGACGGTATTAGTGAATGTATGAACAAACATTAAGTTACAGAAAATATAATATGCTTTTTTTTTTAAAAAAAACTTGCGACTTTATCATTATAATTTTAAAGAAAAACAGTTAAGATTTTTTTGTTACTCATCATTTATAACTTTTTTTAGTGCAGAAATGAGCAAAGCGTATTTTGTGACCATAACTAATACTATGATTGAAAACAATAGCAAATATGTAACAAAAAATTTATTTTTTTAACAATTATATATATACAACAATAACATAGATATATAACAATTATTTACAGTTGATTGAAATAAACTTAAATATTTTTTGCATACTCATGTCTTCATGGAAATCGTATAAATATCCCTTATGTCATATTAAGTAATATAACATTTGGTCAGTATATTAAATTTGTCACAATAGTTTGGCAATACGTTTAATTAATTTTTTTTCTGAACATTAAAAATATACTTAAGGTAAATATATTTAAACTTAACATTGAAAAATACAGTTCACTTGTTTTTTTAAAATTAATTATGTCTAAATATTAAATGATTTACTAACAAATCAATTATAAAAAGTATACAATTGCAATGCGCTATAAATATTGTATTTATTTGAAGATATATCTAATTTTAATATTTAAATATAGCCTATTTAATGAGTTGAACACTTTAAAAAATACGAGGTTTAAAGCAATTTTAATAGTTGGTAATTTCCATTTGGGAACAGTTTCAACCTAATTGTAATGAGATAATTAGTTATTACAAGACAATATTTTCTCTCTGTATGAATTAAATTAATATTCATTGACAACAATTATGTAAAACTTATGATTAAATGTAATAAAAACTTTAGTTTAACAGAATATTTATAATCATAAATGAAGCTGTTAAAAATTATTTATTCATAATTGTAAAAGTCCAGGAAAATAATAAATTTAATTAGATCTGAGTTACATAACCAGTGAAATAAGATGAAGTAGAAAAGTTTCAAAGAAGAAAAGAGAAAATAATGCATTTAAAGTTTTTACAAATAAAATCGCGATTGAGCATGGTTTCATTTACCGTTCAAAAATCATAAAATAATTATATCCTAAAAGAGTTAAATCATATAAAAGAGTACCCACATCGCATTTAGAAATAAAAAAGGAAACAGTGATATTTATAAAAATTATGTTTCAAACATTTTAATGTCAACACAAATTTCAATACTTAACTCCAGTTTCATGTACTAGTTTAAATTTATCTCAATAAAACACCATGTACGTGCAGATTTTTATTAAATTTAAGGAATAATTAAATTAAATAAATTTCCAAAGTATGTAACCCATACCAAATGCTTCAAATCATTTATCTTAAAAGTTTATCATAGTATCACTTTTTTTAGAATAATATTTTATGCATAATAGTTTTCTATAGAAAATTGTACAAAATTATATGATAAATTAATTAAAATATATCTATATATCACATTAACAACTCAAATGAGATTTTAATTAAAAAATCAAGCTGAACATAACATCCCAACACAGCTTAAATGCCCTGAATATCCTTTATCCTTAACAATTCGCATACATTTTTAACCCTTAATCCATTATAAGATACTTTTTCAATGACTTAACAAAATAAATTCAAACAGATTCATCACTTAAAACTTTTCTTGACGACAAGGTATATTTGATAAAATATGTTTTTCTTTTATGCCGTTGATCGATATTGTCTGCATATGTCTCTTAATAGATTTGGCAGTAATAGAACAATTATTTCCGTCACTAAATGTCGTGTTTCCTTCTTTCTCAAAGTCACTATTTTCATTGTCACTAATGTCACCAGTGACAGTTCTTTGCAATATGAGTGACTCTAAGCACATGTAAGGCACTTGGAAGAATATGTAACAAGCGTAGGACAATATGAAGGATGATACGAGGTATCCAAAGTAATTGATTATCTGTAAAAGAATATGCAGTTATGAACAAAAATTAATAAATTAAAAATTATTGCTAAAAAATAATAATAAAAAATTATTAATAAAATTAAAGTAAAAAAAATTACTACTGAAGTTATTAATTAAAAAATAACTGTCAATTTCATGGAAAAACTATGCTAAAAGCAACACAAATAAATTTAAGACGTTAAGTTTCTATCTCGGGGGGGAAAACAAATTATTTGATTAAAATTACCAATTTAAATTGAGTTATTTTATAAGTAACGATTTAATATAATTATGTATTTTTTCATAAAAAAAGCTTTATAATAATAGATATTTAGGCAGTATGGGGAAATTACGGAATAGAAACATAATACAAAAAAAATTCACGAGAATTTTCAAGTGATGTATAATATTGCCAAAGTTCCTTAAGTGTTAAATTTTAATAAAATGTTAAACTCTGCCTAGCAATTATAAAATCATACAAACCATTATAAGTAAGAGCTCGAACAGAAATATTAAAAATATTTCCATCTTTGTTGTCAAATAAGATAGAAAACCCATCCAAAATGCTTCGTTACGTGCTGTACTACTATCTCACGCACTTCCTGAGCAAAAATTTCAGTATGGTATAATATCAAAATATATATATACACTGGTGTGCAAAACTTAAGCAACAAGTGGTTTTTCGGCAACAGCTCCCCAACAAAGTATAAGATAGCCATGAAATTGCAGTATAATATGCACGTAATTCAGTTGAAAGATTATTTGTATGCAAATTTTAGAAATAAAACGTCGTAGGTGATGTAAGTGTACGTAAACCTTGTGGGTCGGCGCTCAGGTCAAAGCTGTGATAAAAGGATGAAGAGCACCGTAGTTAAAGACATTCGCTGCAAGTGCAAGTAATTTGTTTTGTGAAACATGTCTTCAAGAAATCATTTAGACGACTTTACTCGAGGAAGAATGATTGGGAAGCTTGAGGAGGGGTGTTGTGTGACCAATGTCGCCGAAGAGTTCGGGATCAACAAAAGTGTTGTTTCTCGTGCTTGGAATGCCTTTAAAACTACTGGTACAGCTGTTCGGAAGGTAGGTGGTGGCCGTCTAAGGAAAACAACACCAAGAGATGATCGTAACATTGTCCTCTAGGCGAAAAGAAACCGTTTTCAGTCAACGAGCACCATATCTCAGCAACTGTGCACAGCCACGGGACGTCAAATATCAAGATTTACAGTGGTCAGACGCCTCCACAAAGGTGGCTTATTTGCTAGACGTTCTGAACGCTGCATACCTTTAAAAGTTAGCCATCGGAGGCACCGTTTAGAGTGGTGCAGAGAACACGAAACCTGGACACCTCATCAATGGAGGCGCGTCCTCTTCACAGATAAAAGTCGTTTTAATGCTACAAGCGATTCTCAACGTCAGTTGAGCTGGAGAGAGGTTGGAGCTCGATTTCATCCCAATAACATCGCGGAAAGAGATCGTTACGGTGGTCCTGGAGTTGTCGTCTGGGGTGGCATTATGCTGAACGGGCGAACTGAGCTTCAGATCTTCGACCGAGGATCTGTAACTGGAGACAGCTACTGCAATGAGGTAATCCTACCCCATGTGCGTCTGTTCCAAGGGGCCATTGGACCAGACTTCATTTTTATGGATGACAATGCCCGGCCACACCGTACCGCTAATGTTCAAGAGCTACTGGAAAATGAAGATATCACGCGAATGGATTGGCCAGCTTACTCTCCAGATCTAAATCCCATAGAGCATGTGTGGGCTACATTAGGGAGACGTCTTGCGACACGACAGTATCCTCCTGGTAACACCCATCAGCTGAAAGATTCGTTAAAAGAGGAATGGAGACGTTTACCCTAAGAACTCCTGGATAATCTGGTCCTTAGCATGGAGAGACGATGCCAAGCAACAATTACAGTAAGGGGAGGGCATGTCCCATACTAGGGAACATCTGCCAGTTGTACTTACGCTTGTTCAGGCAATCATGTGTAACGCCACTATATGTCTAATAAAGCCTTTTTTTGTTCCATACCCTACTTTAAGCTTTATATTCATTTCTGCACCATTATTCTTTTACCATCGCTTAAGTGCAAAATAATGTACATCATATTCAACTTTCATGTCAATCGGATGATTTCTTGTAGACTTATGACAAAAAACGCACTTGTTGCTTAAGTTTCGCACACCAGTGCATATATTATTATTATTATTATTATTTTTATAATATCTTTGAAATAATATATGACGGCCGGAAGAAAGATGGCACAAGTGGAAAATGGCAGTTTACCAAGGATGATAATAAGAGGAAAAGAAATATATATATATTTTACAAAGGAAACTATAAATACATAACACATTAGGAAGAAAAGTTAGGTGTTGTAGAAGAATTATCAAATATTAAAGAAATTCATTCCTATCTCAAATATGAAATAAAATAATGAATAAAAAATAATTTTACTCACGTTTTCTTCGTGGCTCAAATACACCCTTTCTCGAAGTATACCGATATGATAATATATAATGACGAGATGCAATAGGTATGCTAAGAAGCACAGTCTGTATGCAGGTATTAAAGCTCTCCAAGAAAGCATATCAGGGATGAAACCTAAAACAACATCACTCTGATCAAAATAAAATTAAATAAACAAACAGTTACAATAGCAGCAAAATTGTATTGTAAGATTTCGTTTTCTCACTGGAAATGTTAAAAATGTACTAACGTTAAGATTGCATTACTTGCACTATTTTTGTTTTTCCAAACTCTAGAAACGAAGTCTTATAGTCAACAAACAGTGGTCCAAATAAATTTGTTAAAAAAAAAAAAAAAAAAAAAAACAATCTCTTGCTATTTTACATGGAGAAAAAATTCTGGTAAATTAACCATACCGGTATGGTAATGATATTCATGGTATAAAAAACTGTAGGTCTGGTTGATACGGCCCAAATACATGTCATTTAAAAATTTTATTCATATAAAACATTTTTCAGTTCATAAAATAAAAATTTTCCAGAAATTCTAGATTTCAAAATTTTAGCTCTTATTGCCACATTTATAGTAAAAAAAAACTAACCAAAAAGTAAATTTAACTGAACGAATGGTTTTATGCCATGTTTGAAGGTATCATGATAAAATTACCGAATTTTACCACATTTTTCAAATTCTATCTCATATTATAAAACCACATTTTCTTGTTAATTTTTCCAAAATCATCACAAAAGTGCATTGGTAAAAATTACCGATCTTTTTGTGGTTCCCATAAAGCCAGAAACATGGTAAATTTTACTATACTCTGGTAGTTTTGACCATTCTTTTTCAGAGTAGGAAGTGTTAAAAATATAAACATTAAGTACATAAATGAGTTATTTTATAAACACGTTTGCCAAAGAATGAGAAGTTTCTATTAACGGTACGAAAGTTTACTTAAATATTGTATCTTTTTTATTTTTCTCAGATTATAAGCTGAAATATACATTTTATTGATTAACAATTCAGTCATTTTTGATAAGAAGTTGAAATAGCTAAATATAATTATAAATCAATTTGTATTATGAATCCTATAGAAGGAAATATAATTCAAGGATAACAGTTCACTCGAATTTGTTTTAGTTTTCAATTTAGATTCCAATTAAATTTTATTGCTTAAAGACATTGATATTTTTCATGCTTTTTATGGTTTTGAAAATTTTTAATTTTCCGTTAGTCAACTTTTTTATTTATTGCGTAGATAAAAATTATGAAATTAAAATTAGTTTAAATTGGAATACGAAAGTTTAAAAAAAATCACGCTGTTTTCGTATAATAATAAATATTTAAAATATCATATATGTGCATTTCTATGAGAGATAATTATATTAATTTGTTCAAAGCTTAACCAATCTGGAATATCTGGTTCTTTTAGTTTATCAAACGATTAACCTTTGAGCACAATAGCGTACTAACGAAAAATTGGAAACTATATATCGGGTAAAAATAATAGGCTAAATATAAAAATTTTATATTTGTTGTGATTAATTAAAAAAATTTAATTCAGAACTATTTTAACCCATGTATTTGGATTAAAACGTGGTATAATTTATTTTGGAATTTTATTATATGATTTTCCATGGATGCTTTAAAACAAACTTACCAGCTTTACCAGTGACACAAGCTATGGTAAACCATGCTAAGAAAAGACCATAGACATTTCTGTTTAGCATGGCATATAAAATAGATAATGAAGAATCCATTTTCATATCTCCATGTCTGTATTCATAAAGACCAAAAAAGACAGCAAGAAGTGAAGCTATTGCTGTACACCATAAAACTGTTGTTGCCACCTAAATTATGGGATAAAAATAATTACACGTAAATCTTTAAATATCTAACATGGCGAAAAATTGCCAAATAATAAGTTGATAGTAAGTCGAAAACTAATTGATAGTTAAAATCTTTGAAGGAGGTCTTATAATTAAAGAGTGATTTCCGTTTACAAAATAATGCATTTTTCGAAGACAAATGAATTGTAAAACTTGTTCAAACAAAGTATTTAAATTCCTGCTTCTTGTCGTTGAAACTTAGGATTTTTTCTCTTATTACAAGCAATATTTACTTAAAGAGTGTAATTTTTCAGCAATTTGAATATTCGTAATATATTCCTTTGCAGTGGAAGTTTTGAAGCAAAAAATTGTCTTAAAAAGTTTTTTATGCCTTTTTAGCAATGTGCAAGCTTGAAAATATAATTTACAAGTTTAAGTTACAATTTATAAGCTTAGAAAAATGCGAAAGAAAAGTGATATTGCATTGACGGGTGCTTCGATGAATTAACATTTAACATTCTCAAACATTAAATGGAGTTATCACAAAACAACATTTTTATATTAATTGATAAATATTTTTCAACTTTAATCTAATTTATTTAAACTAGTGACAGATAATTTGCCGTTACTGTTATGTTTGTTGTTAGTAGAATTCTGTTTATTGAATTTACAGCTTATTAAGAATTATTTTTGTACAAAATACTGTGATTTTGTTTAAAAAAATCTTGTAAACATCTAATGTGATAAAAATACTCCATCCGTTTTAATATGGCAATTTCTTGGAAAATGAGATGAAGTTTAAAAGGGATTCGCCGTTTTCATATATATATATATATATATATATACTCTGGTATGCAAAAATTAAGGACAAAATGGAAAATCTAGCATAACACATGATATATTCACATGATGCACTGGGGGCCATGTTGTAAGAAAATAAAACAAGCTGCCGGTGGAAGCTCAGTATTTATGTGAATAGTATTCTAAAGTATATATCAGTTTAAACAAAGGGAATTTGTTGTTAGGGTGTTATATGGCTAACAGACAACACAGAAGAGACTTAACACGGCTTGTCTATTTGCCCGATGGTCAGTAAGTTGGATTCCATTAACGCAAATTCACTGGAGACACCAGTTAATGTGGTGCCAGGAGCACAGCAACTGGACAGATGCGCAATGGGGTTGAGTACTATTTACGAATGAGAGCAGATTTTGTCTGACCAGTGATTCTGGATGTATACACATCTGGATAGAGCAAAGAACATGATATAACACCTCAAACACCATCAAAAGAGACAGATTTGAAGGAGAATCAGTTCTTGTATTGGATGTTATCATGTTTGGTACTCGCACTGATCTACACATCTTCAAATGTGATTCAGTCACTAGCGCACACTATTGTATCTAGGTTTTTCTTCCTTATATGCAACTTTTTAGAGGTGCTGTGTGAGGAATTCATCTTCATGAACGATAATGCTACACCTCATCGTACAGTGGCTCTTACAGAACTGTTGGAGACACTGAAGATATTGCACATATGGAATGGCTGGCAAGGTTCTGGGATTTTAATTCGATTGTACACATGTGGGACACTCTGGAGGGACGATTGGCACCAGCACCCCAGCCGCCGGCAACAATTCCGCAGCTGTGATTTGAACTACAATGGGCAGTTATTTCTGAAGAGCTTCCGCAGATGATGTCAAACCTGCACAGCTGTCAGAGGTGATCATNTATATATATATATTCTGGATTTAATCAGACTAAATACTGATAGTTTAACTTAACATAAGCATGATGACGTATGTTTATTGCTCAATAAATAGTTCATAGCAGTAGGGTGTTACTAATTAAATTATCAATTCCACATATAGACATTAATCAACATATAGAGAAAATACATCAAAATACATCTATAGAGAAGTTTAAACTTTTATTAACTATTTATTTCATATTTAAGTTATATTTCCGAGAAAAAAACATTTAGTAATGCAGCGACATTTTTTAGTGTTTGAGTTTTACTTACTGTTCCAAAATTGAGACTCTTTTTGTGTTTGGCTACTAAATAACCAGTTACAAGCCCAATTGAAAATGGTCCAATGTGATCAAAGGTCTTAATAAACAGTGTGTTCCACATTTTAGGTCCTGATCTGGTAATAAAAAAAGTAGCACAAATTAGAAATATGATGGTTTGACAATAATTAAGTTACCTTATACCCGAATTATCCTGATTTTAAATTTTCGAAAACATTGATATCTTATGACACAGTTTAATTTATTTTTTATGTAACTTTGTATTTGGCTTGTTATTTCAGGATTTTGGCAGAAAGTAATTATGGTCTATACTTAATGCAATTACTTATCTGTGAGCAGAAAATATTAAAAATGCAGACTTAAAATTTCTGCAGTGATATTAGTTACAGAGTATAAAATTATTGCAATTATTGTCAAATAACCAGAACAACAACAACAAAAACAAGACTAAAAATAAATAAATCCAAGATTATGAGAATAAATAGCAAGACACACCATGCAGTTGAAATTGAAAGGAACGAAATAGAAGATGTTGCAAAATTTACTTTCCTTGGTGCAACTGCTGATAGGAGGGGAAGAACAGATGGAGAAATAGGAGCAATACTTTCAAAAGCACAATTTTTATGCATAGAAATATTTAAAAATTTGGAGGTCAAATAGTTTTATGCTATAGACTAATTTTAACATTTTTAATTCCATAATAAGGAATTAAGTAACACTTGCATGGGTCAGAAACATGGAAACTAACAAAACTTCTGTGTTCAAAACTAAATAGTTAGTGAAACAGATGTTTGAGAAATATTCTAAAAATTTTCTGTTCTCAGACCATTTAAAATTCAGAACTCTACAGTAAAATCAGATAAGAACCAATTATAATCAGAATTAAGAAAAAAAAGGTGGAAATGGCTAGGGGGGAATGGCTTGGGAATGCTTCCTACAAAAATACTATTAGTAGCCTTAACGGGAGCATCAGAAGGCAAACAAAAAAGAGGCTAGCTCATGCTAACATGAGGAAGAAGGGTGGAAGAAGAAAGGAGACAGGCGAGAGGGTCGAGCTGATCTGAGGCGAGATCTTGTGAAAAAGACCGAGTGAGCTGGCATAAGAAGATAAGGGCCTTATGTGCCATCGGGAGCGAAATAGGATAATTAAGTCAAATACAATTATAGATTTGGAACATTATTACGAACAAAAATTAAAATATACAAACAGTCATTAATAATGCACCAAGTTGATGTGTTTTTAATTCATTATAATATCTTTTTTCGATAGCTTAAAATTTACGTTTTTATTTCTAAAACTAATAACCGGATAGCAACTTGAAGTTAGTTTCAAAAATCATCAGCTTTCTTCTTATCTCTGCAAATTATACACTATTTTTATCAAATCTACATTTTGATTTTTTTAGTGTTATATTCTCCAGTCTATTATCATAATTTTATGATTAATATTAACAAGAAAATTTTCATTATATCATTCAAAAGTTATACTGTAGCAACTAATCAATGTGTAATGTAAATAGAAGTGATACCTAGAAATAAATATTTCCATGACTGATTATGCGCAGTAAATAATGTAAAGGCTTTATATTTTAACTAAGATAATAACTACTTATGAACCAACTGGCCATTTTTATTCCTAAAAACTAATTTAGAATTTAAAAAAAAATAGAAAAATTAACGAAAAAAAAATTAAATTAAAAACCGTAAAGAATTTACAGAAAATTTAACATTGTAATATGCCTTGTTATAAATTCAGTTACCATTTCTTTTAGTTAAATTTTTTTTGTTGACTTTTAAAAACCAGTTGAAAGTAGTATTTGTTTCTAAAACAAAAAGAAATATATTTAATTGATACTGAATATGACTCTGTGTTATTTTTATTAAATTGATATCTATGTTATACTGCACGTCATGAGTGAGTGAGAACTCACTCATACTTTTACGAGTGAGTCAACTCTGCATCTAAAATGGTCTACTCTTACTTGTTATGATATCTAAAGAAAGATAAGAAAACAACTTACAAATTATTGAAACTACGTAAGCAGTGCAACGTAGTAGAACTCTGGTTGAAAGGAAATATTTCCTTCTTAAATCAGCAAAATGTATGCATTTTATGTCGTTTTTAAACGGGTAAATTATTGCATGCAGATTAATTTTAAAAGTGAGTTTTTCTACATCGTGACTAATTCGATTCCGAATTGGTAAGCATTTTAAATAATAAATACGCAACTGAAGCTTAATGATAGAATTACGCATGTAGTTCTAAGCTACTTTATTCTGTGTGAGTTGCGTGAAATCAATACTGCCTGAAAAATAAGTAATTACTTACATGCCATCCAGTAAATACATTGTTAAAGCACCAGGGAATTTATGTACAAATACAATTGATCCAACGAGAGCCATTCCACAAACGATCAGTGCTATTATTATAATCATTGCGATATTTGGCCTCCTGTAATATCAAATATTTACGAATCATAATCAGTTGGGAAACTTAACAGATCAATATTTCTTCTTATTTATTATTTATCATTGTACTTATTTTCCAGACTATATTTATTTGCCCACAATATTTTACAATTGCGATAAAATGATTTTCTTATCTGATAGTTAGAAGTTATCTGCCAAAAAGTATTCTAAATATACACTTAAATACCCTTATTTTATAAGAAAATGACCCAATGGAAAAATAAATCAAAACAAAAAGCACAATGAACTCTTTTTTTTTTTTGAAAAATACTTCAGCGCTGTAATTTAAAACCATAATATCGTGACAATTTTTGTAGGATTAATAAAGTGTTACAATGAATCATTTTTCATTCAAGTTGATCTATAGAAACATGCTATCAATTTTAAGAAAAACTATAGTGTAGTCCAACCTAGCACCATATTTATGTTCAAGCAAATTTGAAAGAGATTATGGTTATATATGACCAGTGTATGGTATTTCCTGTAAATATTTAGTTAGGAATATATTGGACAGGATTTAAAATCGAACATTTTCGCATGAAACAACCTTATTTGTTCTGAATCTTGAAAAAAATTGAAGCTAATTTTGCTTTTTTAGTATACTCATAAACATCATTTAAATATGAAATCAATTTTATTTGCAAGAAAATGAATCATGTTTGCATAAATAAAAATAACATCCGATAGTTAAAATTGAAGGCTGAAAAAAAATTCTTACAAAACTACCGTAAGGTACGGTAAGGGCATTTCTTATATAAAAAATAATAATAATTATGGATAATAAAACCGAAATATACCGTACTTAAATTATTCATTTGGTTATATCTCCGTTCATATAGTTACTCTTTTTACTTAAGGAGTTTTGATGTTTCTAACCGTGAAACCTATTTTTAGTCAAGTATCAAAGCTATTTATGTAATAAATTCATAAAATGTGATAATTTGATGATGAACCTGAAATTAAAGATTGCTTTCAGATTCATATATCCTTCGATTCTCTTTAATGAGCTATTTTTTATTCAAAAATATAAATTACAGTAAAGTTTTGTAAATATTCAACGAAAAAAAATTTTTTTTGAAGCACACGAAAAGATTGTTTCTTTTCTACTTATAAAGTTAGTAAACGAGCAAAAAAAATTTACTTTGTATCAATTTATAATACTTAACGTGTCAATTTATAAAATTTAATATACCATAAAGCTTAATTTGTTAGATACACTAAAATACACTAGTATATTTGCAATGTTACTTAAATGTAGAAAAAATCTTACTTTATAAGAAACCATAGTACAAGAACAGCAATAACATACAACTGCATTACAGCAGCTAGTAGCCAGGTATGATATAAACACTACAAAAATAAATAAGGGGAAAATTTTATGGTAAATATACTTATATTCATATTTACATTATAATGACAATATGACTATGCCTTCTCAATACATATTTTGGGGCATAATTGATACGTCATTAAAATTGTTAATTTGTTACTATCTCTCTTTCTTTTCTTTATATATATATATATATATATATATCACCTGCGAACAAATAATTTTTCCATACAATTTTTAATAATCTCCAAGGAACTTTTCTTTTCTTAATTATATAATGCTGTCGTGTATTACATACACGGCAGCGTAATATCGTGCTATAAGATTTAATTCCATCTATGTAGAATGATAGTTCCTTTAGATATCATTGAAAGGGTTCTACAACTGTATACACTACTATGAATAACGTATGCTAAATGATTCTTATTCGGCTTGTCTTTCTAGAAATGGCACATAAATATTCAGGCAAAAATAAAAATGTATCGAAAGCTTTATAGACATAAAATTCCGTGCCCCTGCACCTACAATCTTTTTATTATAAATTTGTAGCAAATTTTTATCTCATTTTTCGAGTTTCTGAAATAAGTGATTCACAAACTATGGGGCTTGATAACTAAGTGTGTGTATCATTATTTCGGGAAAAAATGGAATAAAGGAGAATTTTTCGAGGAAAGAAAACAATACGAAATATCCATTACGGTTTTTATAATTTTTAGACTATATATTAGCGAGTAACTTTTAGCACATTTATTGAGTTTGCGTAACAGGGAATATCAAGCTGCCGTGTTCGACTTATATAAATACGTATAATTATGGAGTGAGTAAATAAAGTATATAGAAAATTCCTGTTGAAACGCAACCAGAAAACATTCTGATGCTTTTATAATCTCTCTAATATGTAAAAAAAAATCAAAATTTCTCTTTCATCATATTTACTGAGTATCTTAAAAAAATGGGACAGGTCCCCCTATCTCGATCAAAATGAAGGCGCGTAATTAAGTAAAAAAAAAACATATAAAGCTTCGCGTGAAATAAGAGTTAGAATTTTTTATTCTCTTAAACATTAATAAATATACATTCGTAGCAAACTTTCATTTGAAGAGTTTCTGAGCAAAATCCCGCAATACAAAACTTTTATTATTGGAGAGACTCGAAATTTTAATTTTGGTATCATTTTTATTTTATTGAAAAATATTGTAGAGGTAATTAAAAACTATTTAGTGTGCTTAATAAATACTTTTCAATAAATACTTAATACAATTGTGGTGATGGAAATGAGATTAATAAAAATAATTATCTGCCTTACAAAAGTTTTCTGGAAAATTAAATGAACATATTTACATATTATGGTTTATCACAAAGTAAAAATTATTCAACGACGTATGTTATGAAAGTTTAAATTCTAGCTAGTTGAAAATTGGTATATTTTATTCTTATTATAACTTAAACTTTAAAAAATTTTGCATTATCAGATTTTTCTGTTTAATTTTTCAGATCTTTCGATGAGATTTTTTGCTGACATTTAATATGCTTTCTTGTGACCTGCCAGTGGAATTTTTACTTGTTATTACTAGACGTTATCTTATTTAAAACAAAGTGCAGTAAAAATTTCTCTTTCAGTTTGATTATCATTGTTTGCTTCCTTTTTACCTTTTGTAACTTTGATGGCGGAGAATAATTAGTATCGAATAATATTTTAACAACAAATGATTTGAGCGTATTCATAAAGAGAACAAGAACATAGTTCACAGATCATAATTAATAGGGAACTAGAACAGGGTTTTAAATTTCTTCCTAAAAAAAAGTTTTATTTTTTAATTTTTTTACATTATTTATATTTTATTACAAGCTAGAAATTTCACAAAAATACTTAACTAATCTTTTACGAGAATTTTTGTAAACTTAAATACTTCAAAAATTTTATCAATTTCGCCTCTTGAAATTAAAATGATATTTTAAAACTTACGGCGTGGGCACTAGATTATTTAACTTTATTTTTTTCATATTTTAAGAATTTTAAAAATAAGGCGTTTTTTACTGTTGCTCCTAACTTTAAGACAATGAAAATAATTCAATGATTGATATAACTGTATTGTATATTTTAAGCAAATAATGTTAAAACTCACTGAATTTTCGGAATCCCAATAATTCTGAATATAAAACAGATTGATCCACCACCTTTCCTTACAATTTTTCAAGTAAGGTCCAACAAAATCACCCCAAAATGGTCCATATCCAATTAACGGAAGAAGTAGGAAGATTGCAATAATAAGAAGTTGCATTAACGTCATCCTGTAAAAGAAATATATAAGTATAGCTATTAATTTTAAATTAACCACATATTATTTGTTACTGTATATAACTAATATGAAACAGAAATCAAAATTCTAAATATTTTTTTAAACTGTTGCATCAGAGTAAAGTTTTGATTTTGTCTTATTTAATTAAAAAAACTAACTCTTACATTAGCCCCTTGAAAAGTGCGAAACAGATATACTAATATTTTGTTGTTGTTTTTGTTTTTAAAGCTACTTGCCAATAGCAACAAACCTGCTTGGTTAAACCAAGCGAATTTAAGACAAAAGGTGAGTTTGTATTTAGTCAGTGGTGCCATCTACGGACAAGAATGACTTCAGCCACACACACTCAGCCAGTTTATAGAGCACGATTATATTTTTCAATTCCAAACTTACCCGATTATTTTTCATTTATATGATTTTGTATATATGATTCATTTATATGATTTTGTTATATGATCATTTATATTATTTTGTACAAAAATTACATTCTCTCATTTAGTTTTATTTCATTCATTTTGTTTTGACATAAAAAATTGTCTCCCATAAAACAAAATTATATTCGAAATTAAATAAATCGCAAATATTGGTTCAAATTACTTTAAGACAATTTATAGTCTACAATATACATTGTACTCAGAAACTTTAACATTTTAACTTCTTAAAACACTTTTTGTATCCTTCTGAACCAGCCAATAAAGATTATTACATGTCTTAAATGTTAGTTAGGTCTCCGGTGTTAATTGTTTTAGGCTACAAAGCACAATTTATGATGTAAAAATAGGGATGTTCTATTTATATTCTGAGAAACATATTTTCACTCTAATACTCGCAAAACTGCTATCTGAAAATGTTGGCTTTTTTTAAAATGCTCAATCTTAACATGTGTCTTACGATAGCCTATCTGTCCTGAAATGTTACTATGATTTTAATCGGAGTTTATACTTTATGCAGAAAGTAATGGAAAACTAAGAATTGTTGTAGCCAATGGACAATTGCAGCATCTCTTAAATTTTCCAAATTATAGTCATTACTTCTTAAGATTGATTTCCTGATTACGAAAATATAATTTTTAACTCTGACAAATAAATATTTATTTAATTATTAATATTTTAATTTGAGCGAAAACGCCCTCACTCGAAAACGACCGCTGATTGGTGTGACGTCATTAGAGCCTTACTCCTCACGACCTTCCCGTTGTTATTATGTATTTTCTTTCTTGCGGTTTTAACTAGCTCTTCTTTAACTTATTTTTTCCAAATTTTCCCGCGTGTATTTAAATGCGTATTTAGCAGCAAATATTTTGAAATCTATTGCATATATAGAATCAAAATGGAAGAGGGGTTTCAAAAAGCTCAAACGGACAATTTGCCGCAAGTTACTGAAGAGATGATTATGGATTTTTTTCGAACGAACCAAGATTTCATTTCGCCTGAAATCAAAGGCATAAAGGCTCAAAGGTATAAATTTGTTTATTTATAAACTGTAGCTGTAAATAAGGGCGTCGGCAAGGAGGTGCACTTACACTACCCTGGATTTTCTTTAAGCAATTAAAAATAAATAGAAAAGCAATTTAGTTATAAAATTTTATGTAAAAAATTGATTAATCAAACAAGAATTGCAATCATACAGAATAGTTTTAATCTTTTTTTTTGTGGGGATGGTAGTTTGTTAAAGGGTTGCACCCCCCTATATTTTATTCTACCGGCGCCCCTGGCTGTAAATAATTTTGTGTGTGAAAATGGAACGGCGATTTGTTATAACACATATAGGTACACGTTAAAATATAGCAAGGATTTAAGTATACTAAAAACATCTTTCCACTTTCATAAAAGTATAAAACTAAACGCTATTCTTACACACTAAATTATTATTACTCACAAAAACAAATAATTATACTTACTCACAAAATTATTATTATAAACGTTATACTTACTCTTTTATTAAAATTATTTTATTAAAAATTAATTTTAATAAAATGTATTATTTTATTAAAAATTAATTTGAATTAAAGTTATTATTTTATTAAAGACCAATTATAAACAACTTTGTAATAATTACAATCAATTTTATTAAAATTAATTTAGTTAAAAATTAATTGAAGTCAATTTTATTAAAAATAATTTATAAACGATTTTATAAAAATAAATAAGCTATTATTTTTATTAAAAATTATTGTTTTATCAAAAATTAATATTTAATAAAATAAAATTAAAGAAAATTAGATTCTAATTTATAAAAAAAATTAAAGAAATAGTCAGAGGCAAGCTAGTTATAGAATATTTTTACCCTTTCTACTGTCAAACATAAATACACATCTTCAATTTTAGTATATTTTACTTTAACTACACCTGCTAATGTTTTTTTATCGAATTTTTTTATTAAATTTAAAAATAAGTTTTGCTTCATAATATTTTTTAAAGTGTTAAATCCAAGGTGTAAATAATAACATGAACCATTTTGAAAGATACTGGTACATTTTATGAATGATGTATTAAAAATCAAAAAGATTTTTATTACATTATATTTTAAAGCGTCTAGTTATGCAGATAGTGTGCATATTGAAGGATTTAAAAAAATATAATAGTTTTTATCCCTATTCTGTAAAAAAAAGAAAAAATTAATGTATACTAAATTTTATATTAAATAACTATTTCATAATTTAAGGTTTCCAGAAACTTTTGGAATTTTTACGGAAAAGAAAGATATGAAATAGCGATTAACACAAACTAATATTACATGGACATAGGAAAGCTATAAAAAACTTCTTCTTCTTTATCGACACTATGGCCTTGGGGAGGCCAGGTCTGTCTCAATTGGTTGTTTAGTCTAATAAGATTCTGTTTTTCAGTTTTTAAATCATCTTTTTCATATATATATATATATATATATTTTAACTTCAGATCAGCAAGACAAACATATGGGGATAATGCTATAGGCTATGTGCAAGTTAAGCGAGAAAGTGATATCTGCATTGTTAAAGGGAAAATGACTCCTGAGCATAAAATAAAAACCAAAGCATATGCAATAACTTTGACATGTGATGAATCTTCTGGGGTCATAAACTCATTAGTGTGCGATAACTGTGCGGCCAGCGCAGGAGGATGCAAGCACATGATAGCATTTCTTTTCTGGGTTCACCGAAAATGTTCGCTACCATCTCCAACAGAAATAGAATGCTATTGGAAAAAATCTAAACTTTCATCAGTTGGTTCATCCCAAAAATTTATTCATGCTTCTAGTTTAGGTAAAAAAGATATCAAAGATCTTCCCCCAAAGTGTCCTTCTATTTTAGAAGCAATACACTTCGATTTTAAAATATATTTTTAAAAAAACAAACGACGTTCAACTAGGCACGTAAACAAGCGTTAAATCACCAAGGAGAAAAAGTGTAAACAAACGCGAGTCAGGCTCGAATGGCGTCACTTTCTTAAAAGTCACGTGACTTCCTTTTTAAACTGAAAACGAAAGTACACGATTTTTAATTGCTCTTAATTAAAAAAGTAGCATTTTTTGGGAGGTAAAAAGATGTTTTTCAGGACTTTTCCATCATTCTGAATTCATTAAGAACATAAAAAAAATTGACTGCAATTGTCCATTATTTTTCTGTCTTTAAAACATGGAAAAAATGGCCTGCATTCGTTTTACAATCATCTATTCAAACATTAGTCGTCTCTTACTTTAATGCATAAAATTTTTTTTAAAAAAACTTATGCTCTAGTATTCCAATATCCAGATATGTAAATATTTTAATTAATTCTAACAATGATTTTAAGTTATCACGTTCTATTGATTAATTAGCAATAGAAGTCTTCATAGAAGTCAGTTACTAGACTCTCAAAATTACAATCTATATCCTGGTGTACATTTGCAGTCATATTGTAATTTTCAGTTCAGTTACGATTTAGCGAAGCTGACTGCCTTCAGAAACTGGAAAAATTGTGAAATGATTTTAAATACAAAAAAATGGGTAGAAAATTATTCAAAATATTATAAAGAGAAATATATATTTACTTACCTAACATAAGGTTTCACTAAAAGGTTAAATAAACTCATTTTAGCAGGTTGATTATTTTTAGTAGACAAATTTCTCCATCGAACATATGTTATGAGGAAGCCACTGAAATGTATTTTAGTAAAATTAAAAGACAATTATTTAATTATTGAAACATTCTTGTGAACATGTTTACTGACACGTATAACACTCTTTAAACCTTTTGTTTAATTAATTTATACGAGAAATTTAAATTAAACTAAAATTCTACAACTGTTTTGAAGATTGTTTTACAATCCTTTAAAGGTTGGTAAATATTGAAAATGAAACCACAACTGTTACAAAAATTATCACAATGAGACTACACTAACGAAATTTCACTGCATAAGCAGTGAAATTTCGTTAATTAGGGATAATTTAAATTAGACACCTCCGTTAATTTTTTTAAATTGCTTGATCTCTGAGATAATTAAAATTAATAATTAGAATTGATAATATATTTGTGGTAAAAGGTTTAAAAAATATTAAAAAAATACATTTAAATGTCTTGTGAAACAAGAAAATAAAGACAACTTAAATAATTTTACCATAAAACATTTTATATTTTATTATAAATATTTAGTTAAAAATAAATACTAAAGAAATTTTTATAGAGAAGCGCAAAATATAAAGTGGATTTCAAAACTTAATTAGCAATAATGAATTTGGTACATCATTGAATTCTTTTCCATAACTAATCATATAATCGTCGTAATTTGCATTCGTTTCATAAAATTTCTGGAAATTTTAAATATAAATAAAACAACTTTAAAATGCACAACTTACGCTATAAAGAAATAATTTTCAATGCCATTCGATCCATTTGCAATAACAGAAAAGGAGAAATTTTCCATATATTCTAAATAATTTATGATACTGCCTGGAATGAAAATATTAAAATTAACAAATAAAACAACAAATAACAAATGAAACAATAAATAGATAAAAGTATGTGTATGTTACACAAATTTTGTTGATCTCTTTATTCTAAAATGTCGCAAAACAATGTTATCTACTATGCTACAAAAATTAAGCACACTATTTTTAAAATGTAATATTCTTCACTCTTCAAATAAAAGAAGTAATAAACATGTGCCTAAAACTGAATGAAATGTCTTAATTTTCGTTATATTTTGTAATTCGTTTCTCTTATTTCATTTGGAAGGAAAAGATAAATTTTTTTAGAGTTGCACCTTTTTTTGAAGCATAAATGCTGTTACTTTTTCAGTGTTTAAATGTATCTCAATGACATTAATAATGGAGGAACCTGTACAACAAATGTATACAATGAATCTATTTTAAAATGATTGAAGAAAATATTAAGGCAAAATAATTATATGTCGTTTTAAATTGTCTAATCCTATGGCATTTCTATTTTTTCTCTCTAAAATTTGAAATAAAATCAAGTAAAGTTCAGCTTTTCTTATTCTTAAATGGATAGGGTCGATACTTTATAACGCTTCAGTGCGTTAAACTTTCCTATTGTAAAAAGAAGAAAAGTGGCATAAAAATTCAAATCGGTTAACACCTTCTGTTCACGTAACATACTGTGAAAATTAAATGAAAAATTAAAAATAAACCATCTTATATTTGTAATTTTTTTCTGTCAGCTAAAATTCAAAATAAAAATGTTTTAGTTATTTTATGCTTTAAGTAACTAAACATTTTAAGTTCTGATCAATGAAAAAATATTTTTTATTCATTCAAAACCCTAGAATTTATGAATATTTTACAACTGTTACTTTTCGTTGCTTTTAAATCAATTTTTTAGTAATAATATATAGTAATTAACAAAACAAAGATGACTTGAAAAATATTGAGTTTTTTTTTAATTTGAACTATATAGTACAGTTACGTGTCATTCCCCTCTCTCATCTTAAGAATCTACTGACTGAATTTCTTTTCCTTTAAGTACAGACCTGTACGCAGCTTCGGAAACACGAGAAAGCTCATTACGAAAAAGGAAATTTTGATACATTTCCTACAGCTTGTAATCAGTTTTTTTTTACCTCACACTCCTACTTGAAATAATTTTACTTTGTAACCACAGTCATAGAAATTGATCAAGGCAACTGATGAAAAGGAAATTCTTTTTTTCTTTCGATAGTCAGACATTTCAAACTAGAAGATGCTTAACTTATGATTCGCTTACATGTCGTGCACACTTTTTTGCTGTGTGTTTCTGGAGCGATACGGTGTCTATGCGATACGGTGCAATTTTATTGTGAAAAATGGTTTGTTTAGTGATCATTCTAAAAAAAAATCAATAAAGGTCTTATGAGTCACAATCTAGAAGTTGGATTGTCAATTCCAGACACTAGTTTTATTGACCAATATTCGGTGAGCCACGAATTTTCCTTCAAAATCATCTACCATCACATGACTGCGAGGAGTGATACAATTCGACATTTTTTGCAAACAACAGAAATCTAAGTTCCTCTAAAGTAACATTTACTATATTAAAACAAATCAGATGTTTGTATGACAAAGAATGAAATCCTTTGTAGTTTGGCTGCCGAATTTTAAAGCTTAATGTGACTTACAGTTCTCATACTCAGAAGAGGAAGACTCATAAAGCGTGATAAATTGTGATGCAGCCATAAAAAGATCTTAAATTTTTCTACCAAGCCTACTCTTGAAAGTTTGGTAAAGTGTACCGTTTTTATGACTGCATCAGAAATAAATAAAATTGTTTGGACTTCAAAATCATATCACTGCATCCACAATAAGCCTACATTATATATAAAATGTTAGGCAGAAGCAATTTTAAAATAAATCTGACTGTATTGAAACTTAATCGCAAATCATTAATATTAGACACTTTTATGAAACCACAAAAAATTAAAAATCCTAAAATCAAATATTAAAAATTAGAAACAAAATACTAAAATTCAAACACACAAAAAAATTAAAAATTTTAAAACGTTATATCGCACGCTCGTTAAGCATACTTAATTTTTAATCAGATGTAAAATAGTTGAAATTCGTTACTAAGTCATGAAAACTCGTATCTTACATTTAGATTAAATTTATAATAATAAAAGTATAATGTGAAGCATAAAATAATCAATAATGAAACCCATACTTACTATATTTAAAGAAGAACAAATGATTGTACATTAAATAAGTGTGTGCTAGAATATTCATTACAACAGTTAGGAGAAATATTCCACGAAGCATAGGCATCGGATGTCTGTCATTATCTATTTTTACCAGCTTCTTAGTGTTGTGAACTGCTGACAGTGAATAGAACAGTCTTTTCAAGGAGACTAAAAATTAAAATGGTAAAAGGTAAAAAATAAAATAGTCAAATAAAATTAAAATGCAATAATTAAATATTATTTATAACTAAGTGTGTTAAAATAATCGTTAGAGCATTGTCGTTAAGAGAATTGGTATTTTACCCATTTTAGTATTTACTAGCTCTCAAATAGATGAAAATGTTGTGAATAAATTTCATGATGCACATTTTTATTTTCTTTTGGCCATTTAAAAGGACATATTTCTTTTTTTTCCAAATATCTTGACCCTTTCAAACTTGTTTTTCTTTAAAAATTCCTCTCTATGTGAGAAAATTTAACAGAAGCGTTATCTGATATTATCTGATTGAGAACTTCATTTGCTTCAAAACTGTACAAATACGAAAAATACAGTCCACATGCAGACTGCTTTTCTATATTTGTATATTTTTGAAACGAATGAAATTTTCAATAGGAAAATACTATTTAATATTTTTAATTGTTTCCAAGTTTAAAATATGAATTTTAGTAAAAATTGCTATTATTGTTATTTTTTTGTGAAAAAAATTAATGAGTTGAGTTATCTGGATAGTGTTACTATCGTAATACATTTTTTATTATACTCCAAAAATTTTTTTTTTAAATTACCTTATTGTGCTGTAATGACATTTCTAGTAGAAAAAAATAACAAAAAAAGACGTAATTTTGGTTAATAAAACCAAATTAAACGGGATTTATACCATATCCAAATTATATAATTTGGTAATTATTCCAAAAAATATGATACTGGTTTAACAAAAATTCCGGTTTTCAAAAGAATGGTTTTTCTGCCATGCATCATAATAGAATTACCGAATTTTAACACATTTACGAAATTTTATCACAATTATGTGAATCCATATTTTATTCTTAAATCTACTAATTTCATTGCCAAAGTGCTTCAGCAAAAATTACTGAACTTTCTGGTGTTCCCATAGAGGCCGAATCTGGTAAATTTTACCCTTTTCTGGTAGTTTTGAGCATATTTTCTTTCTCAGTTTGAGAAGGAGAGATTTTTCTTAAATATACTGATATGATATTGTAATGAATGTAACATGAAATACAGCAATAACGTTGAAAAAGAGAAAACGTGCAATTGCATTTGGTTTAAATGTAATAGAATTAAAATATTACCGTAATGATAAGAATTTTTAACTAGGCAGTAAATTTTAACTAAAGTATGCCTGATAAAAAAAAAACGTAAAAATTGCTTAAAATAGCATATTTTTTAAATTTTGACATATTTTTCTATATTTTACAATGATTTTAGTACAGTTTATAAAGTGTCAAAAGCTGTGAGTGAATACGCTAAATACGTTTTTAAAAGCTTTTAAATAATTTGTATAGATTAATTTTCGAATTAATGATAAACATTTCCATTTGAAATGTATGAAATTAAGAAATTTTGCAATTTTTGTACAGAAAATAAAATGCAAAAAGAGTCTAATATAGCTGGAATTTGTTTTACTTTTTAACAAAAACAATCAATAGGTAATAGCATGGTTCTACTGTTTTGAATAATGATTTTGCAATAATGTTTTTCCTATTTATGATTTTACTTCAACTGCTCTTTATCTTGAAATTCAAATACAATGAAGCCATTTTCTGTTATTAGAAATTATAAAATTTAATGCATGTGTTCTAATTAAAAATCAAATTGTCAGATTGTTATGAATAATTTATATGAATAAAGCTTAAAATGTATTGAGTTTCATCGATTAATTGACTTTATTTTATGTAATTAGTTCGTTCATTATACAGTTTTTTCTAACAAAGGTAGTAATAACTAAGAGCTTAAATTTTATGCAAAAAGCGCTTTCTTAATTAAATTGCTTCATGGCACAAATTTTGTTTTATATTTTTGAGGAAAATTTAAATTGAACGCATCTGCTCTTTAAACTGTCAATCCTTTCTAATGCACATGATCCTGGATCTGTAATGAAATTAAAACTAAAGGAATTTTAAAGAAATATTCAATTCATTTTAATGTATTAAATGAGTCAAAAACTCAAAATGTCTAAGATGTTTTAATTTGTTGCGAAAACAACACTTAAATGTACGCTGCAAAAATATCAAAATCAAATTACAGTAAAAAGTACCGTCACCCAGTTAGCCAGTTTTTTTTCGCCGTAAAATTTATCTTCTATCTTACAATTTCACGGTATTAAAATTTTGATATATCATAATATTTGCAGCAATATTTAATTTAAAATTACTCAGTTACTGTATTTAAACAAATATTATTCTGCAAGTTACGGTATAAAATTTTACGTTTACGGATGCTGTTCTGAAGATGCCAAAAACATTTAACTGTAATTTTTTCTGTAATATTTTTACAACATACTCGTTCTCAATTCAAAATCACATTTTACATCTTTCCTATTTAATTTTAATATTATATGCTTAGATATTAGAAAATTTTTATATTATATTTAATTATTATATCAAGTATTAGATATTTATTTATTATCTTATTATATTACATAATAAGATATTTCTTTTGTCAAATTAGCGTGTTTTCAATTGTTCACACAATGCATGTCTGCCCGTAAAGTACGATATTTCGTTGTTAATTTCTTCCATGCATTTTTAAAGTAATAAGCTTCAAAAAAGACAAAACTAAAGCAAGATATTTTTGTGCTCTGTGGGAGATTGAAATTTTGATCACTTATAATTGCTATTTTATTTAATATGTTATCGGCTTTTTTGATAAAAAGAAATAATTCTATTTAATTAATAAAATTTTTTTGACTACATATAAATAAATAATGTTCTCATACGATAAATTCTAGAATTCTAATAAATTAAAATATTTCATAGAATAGTTGTTATGATTAAAAAGCCAACATTCACCTTAGAATTTTGATGTTGGGTAAGCTGGAAATTTCATGAACCAAATTTCTCCTGCTGTATTTAGGAGTACCAAACCAATGATAATAAATCAAAATCTTTCATAAAATAGTTGTTATGTTTACAAAAACAATATTTACCTTGAAATTTCGATGTTGGATCAAATGGAAATTTCATGAAATAAATTTCGCCTGCTGTGCTTAGGAGTACCAAGCCAATGATGAATACTAAAACAGGTCTGAAGGTAAACATAAAATGAATTATTTTATAATCATGCGACTGATTTAAATATTTAATATTTGAATATTATTCAGATTACGGTTTAATAACATGAAAAATAAACTCATGATCAGAATATTAAGGCTTGTTAAAGGAATATTCCCATGAATCTGAAAACAATAGCAAATTTCAAGAATTTGTGCTTATTAAAAAATAATGCAACATTTTCATGATTTTTGTTATAAATTAACATATGTTTAAAGAGTGTTTTACAAGTTTTCAGTAAAAATAAGTTGCATTTTTGATATATTTTTCTTTGTAATTTTCAAAAGTAAGTATCGTGTAAACATATAATACGTACTGATTGCTACGACTAACAATTTATGAGGAAATTAGAATGAAAATTCTAGAATAGATCATATCTTTAGCTATCTTGCTGTGATACCAGTTATATAGGGCAAAATGAGAAATGACGGAAAATCTGACATTTTTGGAAATGCATCATCTGCCTGAAAACAAAATACAATCTACGAATCATATACGTTATAAATTAATTTAGTTGATGATTTTTTGTGCTTTATAACCAAAATTTCTATAAAATATATCAATTGTAATAATTTTAAATTTAAAGAAATTATATCTTAAAAATGCAATTTTATGTGAAATAAGTTGATAAAATATGAAGTTAAATAAAATAGAGAATAAATATTTTTTTCTCTTTTAAATGGAAACAACATTAATATTAAATAATTTTATGCCGTTTTTATTCAGCAGTTTCGTATTATTTCGTACTCATGACAGATTCGTATTTATTCCAATTTCTGTCGAATCTTAATATTTTAAAAGAAAATTCTCTCATCAGAATAAAAGTTTTCGTCAATGCTTGGGTATAAAAAACCTAATTTTTGCTACTCCGTTTTGTTTATTTAATTGCTTGATTCTGACCCAATAATTAGATAAATGAAGCAATAAAAAAATAATAATAAATAAAGGGAATAAAAATAAAACAATTTTAAATTAATGCATTTATGACCTCAAGTAAATAACATAAATTTAAAGGGGAATACTAAATTCGTTACAGTAATTGGTCGAAAATAAATCGCAAGTTTCACAACGGTGTCAAAATATCTCAAATATGCATTTTCCTACTTTTTGTTCAGCTGACAATTATCCTTGAAACTGTCCACTTACTTATATTTGTTGTAACAGTGTACAAAAGAATTGAAAGTCGGCTTTATTCAAAAGTAATTTATTTTCATTTCGTCATTTGTTTTCAGTAAATCCTATTAAAAATAAAATCATTGACGCCAGATGAAGAATGCAAACATAGACTTAAAATAAAATCATCTCAGTGAAAAAAATAATTTAAAATGATTATTAAAGCTTATTAAATTGTCGTAAAAACTTATCACAATTTCATGTCATTTATTTTTTTAATTATTTGAATCAAAACTATGGCTTATTTAAACGTAATTAACTTTCATATTTTCATTTTCTTAAATAAAAAGAAATCTACCATATCTAATAATTGATAAACGTAAACTAATTTCACTTTACTTAAATTGTAGTTAATTCTATTTTTTCATTATAAAAAATCTTTTTTATTCATATTGTTCCGGAATGACCAAACTTAATATTACTTTTAAATTTCTTTATTAATTTATTTATTTCTTTTCTTCATCAATAATGTAGAAATGTATGCTTATTAGGGTTACCAAATGATATTTATATTAGAAATCATGAAAATGATAGCTTGCAAATTCTAACAAATTACTATGACATACAGAAATGAAATGAATAAAACTGTTGAAGTGAAGAAAGAAAAATAAGGTCCGGAGTTGCTAGGTGTTTATTTGAGTCATGAAAATAATACCAAAATTTAATGAATAACTACTATGCATGCAGAAATAAAAAGAATAAAACTGTTTAATTTCTGAAAGAAAAATAAGGATTGGGGTTGATAGGTGATTATTAGAATTATGAAAATGATACTAAAATATAATAAATAACTGCGGGGCAGGAATGAAAAGAACAGAAAGAACGGAATAGGTGATTATCAGAATTATGAATTGATACCAATAACTACAACGGCAGGGTGGGAATAAAAAGAATAAAAAGAGCAGCAAATACGATTGTAGCTGCCAGATGATTGATCGAATCACCACCAAGTTCAACCATGTAAGAAAACAGTTTTTATTTTTAATCCTTCCTTTTTTACTAGTGATTTAAAAGATTCCAATAAGATTTTTATTTTTGAATGAATTAAATACCAGTTTATGACCCTTAATCTGCAAACCTTTGAGACTTCATCTTCGAGAATGATTTAAAAAATATCCATTAATTTTCAAATATCGTGTATTTATCGGCTAATTAGCGTTGAAGGCAATTTTTTTTAACAAAATTGTTTCCAACAATAACCAAATTATATTGATGAATTATTAGGTAAATTGCATCGTAATTACTATTTTAATACTGAGATGCATTTTTAACATTAAAACTTTTGTTGGTTAGTTCATGAATTCGTTCATTTATGAATTGTAAATTCAGATAAGTTGGAATTTCGGAAATAAGTAAAAATTGTAATAGCACAATTTTTTGTGATTTCCAATGGAACAAATTGATATTTTAATTACCAAATTGAAATTTATATGCAAAATTCTGCTTGCATTATTTATAATTTTATCTTTGAAAATATATTTTAATATTCGAGTTTAAAATATATTGCAGACTATTTATTGAATTAAAAAATGGTTTTAAATAAAGTGCACTTACATTATAATACTTTGTTCCGTTTCAAGTTCTAATTTCCTTTTTTCTTGACAATGAAGAACACTCAAAGGAAATCCTATTTGTCTCGAAACTGCAAATCGAAATTATGGAATTATTTTTGCTCTGCAATATACAAAATTATAGAAAAAAGAAAGAGTCATAATTTTAACTTATTTATTTTTGATGCATTATTTCATTTTTAATAAACCTTTACAAGAATACCCATTATTAATTAAAATTATAATAGTTAAATGTTAAACTATCACAAGTTTTTTTTAATTTTATTATTTCATTACAATAATATCAAATTTTAAAATAGGTCTTCGAAATTGAGTGGATTTGAAGACTGATTGAATAATTACTATTGTGATTGTGACACTAATACCATATAAATCTTTCAGTCAGTTCTATTTTTAATATTTTTAGATATTTAACACATAGTAAGATGCTGTTGCTATCTAGAAAATATATAAAAAAATCATGATGTGTGGGAGGTAATTATTGCACAGACTTACTGTGTCTTGGTAATTTTAATTGCATATTTCAATTCACATGTAATATCTGTTAATTAACATTCACAGAAAGCAAACATTATGGTTGCTCAAATTGATTTGTTTTTAAATGTATTATAATTTTAAAAAAACTGGTTGCATTCATAAAACTTTAGTGATTTCAACAACAATGTAGATGAAGCAATACACCAGTGTTCAAATCCCGAAAACTCATTTTAATGTATATTAAGAAATTATTTATCTTTTTTGACAAAATAATATTTGCTTTTATTAAAATTTATGGACGATTTAACTGTTGTATCATGCGCTTAGATTTGAAAATATATTACGTTGGCATGTAAAGAAAGGCAGTCAAAATCTAATTTTAAGACTCATAATTGTTCCCTGACTGTATTATGATTTTTACAAGCGAACTTAATGTGCAATGTAAAAATTCTGGGAAAAATTACGAAAAAAAGTACTGGCACCCTGATTGCTAGTTTTGTAATGATTGCTGATTGCTTTTTTGTTTTAACTGTAATTTTTACAGAAATGTTTAATAAATCACTGTAATTGAATAAATATTACTGTAAAAGTTAGTCTAAAATTTCATGGCAAAAATGGATTTTGCGGATGTTGTACTCAGGGTGCCAGTACATTTTACTGTAATTTTATCGGGTAATTTTCACAGTGTTGTTGATAAGATACATGGTATTTAAAATTTAAAAATATGCAAAATAGTAATTATAAATATATTACTACTTTTTAAGTCCCTTTGTTAACTTTCAAAGCTAAATCGTCATTTTAAAATATTAATTTGATTAGGCTTTAATTTGATGTTTATAATACAAACATTTTACTGGTTTATAATGCAAAAGTTTTTTATGCTCTAAAACAACTGTAATAAAATTTTGACTTAAATACTTAAGTCTTTATATGACTTGTTATAAAGAATTTTGAATTAAGCAACATTGGCGCCAATAATATGCCGATATTTTTATTGTTTCCTTAAATAAATTAGTACCTTTTCTTCTGCAAATTTTACTTTTGAGTGCATAGCATACATTTTATTTCAATTACAACCTATTACCAAACTTAATTAAGCATCATTGGCCAACATCTTGGTCATATATTATATTACGTTTCACCTAAAGAATTACTACCATTTCCTTCGAAATTTAGCTGTTAAGCACATAATTAATTTTAGTTTTCAAAAATCCTTCATTTTAAATTATTTATTTTTATATAAACGCCTTTCTAAAGCAAAAAAAAAAAAAAAAAAAAAAAAAAACAAGTGGTTTCAGATAACTTTAATTCAGTGACGTATTCCCTTAGTGATCCTACTTTGATCTGACTGTAAGAATAAAAAACATTAAATACATAAGGACGTGCTATAAACTCTTTATTTAATGAGAGCTTTAAAATAGTATATATCACTGATGCATTTTTAAAATGTTTGAAAAACAATTAGTTGCAGTTTCATTTTTACCAAATGGTAATTCTAAACCAATAAAAAAAATTCCATTCCATTTTTCAAACATCTCTCTCAAGTGATCTTATTGATGTCCTTGAAGGAATTATAGATTAAAGCAATTATTTTATTATTGAAGATCTTTTGCCATTTTGATAGTGGCACACTGTTATTTATCTTTTGTTACTCTTTTTCATGTTCTTTTATTCATAGTTTCATAAGACAATATGCATACTAAAATGTCTTAAGAGCTTCTTATAAAAACATGTTGCCCGAATGTTTTGAGAAAAAAAAACAGATTTAGCATGTTTAGAAAAATTAAACGTCGTAAAAAAAACTGTTTAATAATAAATGCAATAAACACTATATGAAGTATTTTTTCTTTTAAATTTGAGAAAATCAGATTCAGAATTTATTGAAACATTAGGAGAGTGTATAGGAACTCTAATTTCTGCTTAACAATCATTGTTGTATTTAAATACTAGTTGGATAAATGAATGTTTTATAATTGCAGTTCACTGAAATATATTCATAAACTTTTGAAGTTAAATGTCTTCAAAGCGTAAATTAGCACATTGTTTTTTTCAAAAAATCCACCAACTTTATAATTTTATATGCTTACTAGTATATGCAATACTGGTTAAGTCTTCAACATCGCATGTTGATGGGATACAAACACCAAATCTAAAAGCTGCAACTCTCATGTAGTGTCCATATTTTACCAATATGCTGAGAAACTGTGAAATAAATATATAAATACATACATATAATATTTTTTATAATACTTATTACTATGAAACTATTGTTCTACTCATAGAAAAGAACAATCAAAGAAACGAAGCACGTACAGTGCGCAAATAATTAAACGGATATAAAATTTGTTTAGCCAAAGATAATTCCATGCAATATGCAATTCCATGCGAGATAGCCTGGTCGGTAGGGTGCTGGGCTCATGTCCAAGAGGTCGTGGGTTCGATCCCCGCCGGCGTAGTAAATGGTGACTGATGCACGTTAAATCTGTCGAGTCTAAAAGTCCGATATAATTTTATTAAAA